ATCCCACCCCCATCCCCACTTCCACCCCATCTCCATTCTGTCCCTATCCCCATTCCACCCCATCCCCCAGCCTGCCCACTTCACACTCACATCTCTCAGTGTCCCAGTCTGGTGGCACAGAGCCACGACGGCACCGATGGGGATCTGCACACAGCTGAGGACGCCCATGCAGACACCCAGGCTGGTGCCCCACGCTGGGAACTCATAGGTGCCGTAGCGCAGGGGAACGTTGTACATGTCCAGGAACATGAAGATGAGTGTGAACTGTGAGGATGGAGCAGACAGCAGTGTGGTGACGGCACCGTGGGGACATCAGGGCCACCCGGGCTGCCCCCCTGACCGAGAGGAGCTCAGGCAGTGCCCAACACTTACCAGCAGCAGGCAGGGGGTGAAGAAGACCCAGCACACCTTGAAGCAGCCCAGCACACGGCTGTACCACGGCGGGCAGCGGCAGATCATGGTCACAATGTCCCAGCAGAACTGCTGAATGCCTGTGGGACACGGGGTCACAGTCAGCCCCCCGCCCCAGCAGGGCTCTGTGCCAGGCACCCACAGCCCCTGTGCCCCCCCCCCAGGACATCAGGATGGTGCTGGGCACTGAGCAGCCCCCCATGTGGGTGGGCAGTGCTGAAACCGCTTCCCAGGATGCAGGGAAGATCACAGCCCAGCTCTGCTCCGTGGAACCCCTCAGTTCCACTCCGTGGAGCCCCCCCCGCCTTCGCTCCTTGGAGCCCCCCACCTCCGCTCACCATAGCAGGAGGCGATGCCGATGCACATGAGGAGGGTGATAATGATCAGCCCGAAGCTGGTGCTGTAGGTGTCAATGAGGGTGAACCAGAAGATGCCACCCTATGAGTGGGCAGGTCAGCACCTTGGATCCATACAGGGGGGCGGGCCCTCTGTGCCCCCAGGACAACCCCCAGGATGCATCCAGCATGGGCCCCACGCACCTGGGTGACGAGGAGGAGCCCCAGGAGGTAGAAGGAGAAGCAGAGCACAGCCAGGAACGTCACCTTCCTCTTCCCCTCCCGCAGGGCTGGGAACTCATCCATGATGGCGGTCGTGATGGCCTCGATGTTCCCAAACTGAGGGACAGGGATGTCAAGGGGGTGGCAGGAAACCCACCTTCACCAGGATGGTCCCCGCAGCACCCTTGTCCCCATTGCACTGAGCACACGTGGCCTTGGGCGCAGCCCCACCAGGGGCACGTAGCAGCCTCACCTCCCTAGGTGGACCCACTGGCTCTGCATCCCACCCCAGCGGCAGCCCCACATGCACAGAGCTCCCCAGCCCCACGTTCTGTGCACATTTTGCCTCCTGCATGCCGAGGTCAGGGTGTACCTGGCACCACAAGGCCAGGCACAGGGCGGGACAGGGGACTTCCCAGTGTGACAATCACCAAAGTGTCCACTCCCAGCATGAAGAGCATCAGGAAGAAGAGGATGGACCAGAACGGGGAACCAGGCAGCAGGGAGAGCGCCTCAGGGTACGCCACGAACGCCAGCCCAGGGCCTGCAGGATGGAGACATCAGGATGAGGGAAAACACCGTGGTGCTCAACAGCATCCCCTCCCACAGCACCCCGTGTCTCCAAAACCACACCAGACTCAGCGACGCTGCCCACAGGGATGTCCCTCTTCAAGGCCATGTGTCCCAGCACCGAGAAGATGGCGAAGCTGGCCAAGAAACTGGTGCAGCAGTTCCCGATGGCGATGACCAGGGTGTCCCTGCCAGGGAGAGCGTCTCTACCCCACATCCACGGGGAGGACGGAGTGGGGCACCCCCCCCAGGGAACGCACGTCCCCACTGCCGCCCCTCAGCGCCCACCCCCAGCTCACCGAACGACGTTGTTGTCAAACTTGTTGTAGGAGGCCATGGAGAGCAGCCCCCCAAAGCCGATGCCCAGCGAGTAGAAGATCTGCGAGGCCGCATCGCTCCACACCTGGGGGCACGAGGCCACGGGGGGGCTGTCGGGTCCCACCCACCCCCACTGCCCCCATCTGGGGGTCTCACAGCGCCCGGCCCCGGCGTTGGCGTTACCTGCGCGCTCAGCAGCTTGCTCCAATCCGAGGAGAGGTAAAAGCGGACGCCATCGAGGGAGCCGGGCAGCGTGGCCCCACGGATGATGAGGATGAGGAGGATCAGGTAGGGGAAGGTGGCCGTGATGTACACCACCTGCACAGGGCACAGCTCAGCCCCGCTCTGCTGGCTCAGCATCCCCAGCCTTGCCCCCCCCCCCCCTCACCTTGCCTGAGCTGTGGATGCCCCCCAGCATGCACAGGAAGACCACGATCCAGGCTGCCAGCAGACACAGTGCAAGCAGCCACTGCACTGAGCCGGGGTCACCAAGGCCAGAGCTGTGTGTCACTCCCAGCACCTGCTCGCTGAGGTGTGGGGATGGCAGTCAGTGGGATGGGGATGCTGAATCCCTGAGCCCCCACGCTGTGGGACCGGGGGGGAAGGAGCCAGCTTGCTTCCACCAACTTACTTCCAGAAAGCCTCACTGGCACTGGTATGGGTAGCACTCCCTGATGCATTCTGCAAGATGCCATCATCATCACCATCACCACCATCACCATCATCACCACCACCACCATCAACATCATCACCACCACCACCATCAACATCATCACCACCATCAACATCACCATCATCACCACCACCACCATCAACATCATCACCACCATCATCATCATCACCATCATCACCACCACCATCAACATCATCGCCACCACCACCACCACCGTCATCATCATCACCATCATCATTATCATCACCACCACCACCATCAGCAGCATCACCACCATCATCATCGCCACCACCACCATCAACATCATCACCACCACCATCATCATCATCACCACCATCATCAACATCACCACCATCACCACAATCATCACCCCCAACACCACCATCATCATCACCATCACCACCACCACCATCAGCAGCATCACCATCATCATCACCACGGCCACTCCCATCATCATCATCACCACTCCCACCACTCCCTCCACCATCACCACCACCATCACCACCACCATCACCACCCCTCCCATCATCACCACCATCATCATCACCCCCCTCCAACCCTCCCTGGCCCCGGCCCCAGCCTGATCTGCTGCCCCTTCCCCAGCTGCAGGTAAAGCCTGACCCTGAGGGATCCCCATCCCCGGATCCCCATCCCATTCCTGCTCAGGGCTGCCGACCTGGCAGAGCTCGGCGTTCCGGGGGGCATCGCAGGACCAGGGCAGGGGGCTCTGGAAGGACGAGCCCAGGTAGTAGAATGCCCATGCGATGATGACGTTGTAGTAGATGGACACCAGGGAGGACACCACCATCATGCCCACACCAACACCTGCACCGGGGAGAGGGGCTGCTCCGTGCCCGCCTCCGAGGGGCTGGGAGCTGAGAGGGGTGTGGGGAGAGGTGCCCTTGATGCTGGGCCTACCTTGCAGGATGGGGCAGCACTTCCAGACGGTGATGGGCCCCGCGGCCCCGTACTGCCCCAGGCTCAGCTCCATCAGGAAGAGGGGCAGCCCCACCAGGAGCAGCATGAGGAAGTAGGGGATGAGGAAGACACCTGGCAGGAGGAGAGGGGCAGTGAGTCTGGGGATGGCCAGAGGACACAACAGGTCCTGCAACCCCCCAGGAGATGGGCACAGGGCAGGGAAAGCCCCTGGGCTCCCCAAAGAGCTGTGAGTACCCATCCCTGGCACTTATTGCACGAGGCCTCAGGTGAGGTTTTGGGCCCCTGGACTATGGGAGATGTTCCTGCCCATGAAGGGGGGTGGGTGGTATTCAAGTCCCTTCCCACCCGGACCAGGAGCCCCATGGATGTGAAGCCCAAAGGGCAGCGTGGGCTCCTGCTGCCCATCCCAGCCCCAGGGAACGCCCAGCTGCGTGCACCTCTTCTTCCCCACTGCACCGCACAGAGCATGGAGTGCTGGCAGTGGGGCCACTGGAGATGAATGGAGGGACGGACACACCGACCCCACACCCATGCCCTGAAGCAGAGCAGCATCCGCAGCCCTGCCCTGGGGCCAAATTCCTCAGTGAAGGCAAGGTGCAAAGCTCGGCCCAGCTGCAGCGCTGGGCACATCCTCATTCCTGCATGGCACCATGGAGCCAACTTGGGCACCCTGCACCTCGCAGTGGGGTTAAAGCAGTGGGGCCAGAGAGCAGCACAGGACCCCAAGGCCCCCGAGCAAACCGAGCCCCAGCACCAGGGCAGCACCCACCTCCTCCATTGCGGTAGCACAGGTAGGGGAAGCGCCAGACGTTGCCCAGCCCCACGCAGTAGCCCAGGCAGGAGAGCAGGAAGGTGTGCCGCCCGGCCCAGGTGTCTCGGGGTGGGTTGGGGGCCGGGCTCCCCGTTGGAGCTGGGGGCTCTGCACCAGGCTGCGGGGTGATCGGATCCTGCGTCTGGAAGATGTTCACCTGCAGAGGAACAAAGAATTGGGAAGGCGTGCCCGAGATCACAGCAGAGCAGAGGAGGATGAGGAGGATGGGTGAGGAAGAAGCATCGCTGCGCACACAGTGCCAAGATCAGGGTTCTGGCTCAGGGTGGTGTGCAGGGGCCGCTCCGTGCCCAGCTCACATGCAGACAGGACTTGGGATGAGCAGGACAAGGGCTGGGGCTCTTTGGTCTGCACCGCTCCTCCCTAACAATGCGACGGGCCCTAGGGAAAGCGATCTGCATCCAGCTGCATGGAAAGCACTCTTGCAGCTCTGCAGTCCCCAAAGGCTGGCAGAAACCCCAAAATCCAGCATGTACCTCCCTGCAGGCAGCAGAGCAGCCATGAGCAGCTGTGCTCGTGGCATCATGCAGCGCTGCAAGGTGATGCTGTGGGGTGCCCTGGGATGTGGGCATTTGGGATGCTCAGAGTCCCTGCAGGGCACTCCTGGCTGCTCTGGTGCAAAGTTCATGGCACTTCCCTCAGTGTCAGTGCCAATGTGGGGCTGTGCCTCACACAGAGCCGCCCCTGTGCCCGTGAGATAACAGTGCTGCACCGACTGACTGGGTGACACAAACAAACTGCAGATTGCAGGAATCGTGCCACCAAGACAAGGCCACAGGGAGGGCTCTGCCCTTTGCCTGGTGCTGCGTCAGAGCCGTCCGGGAAGCACAGCGTGGGGATGCCCCATGTGATTACAGGAGCCAGCCCAAGCACGGAAACCAGGGGGTACCTAAACCTGGGGTGCTGCTCCTGCACTTTGCACACCCACCCAATGCACCCACATCCCAGCCACGGGGTCACAGCACGAGGCATTGCGTGAAGAAAGCAGGGAAGGCAGTGGGGGCATTTCAGCCCTCTGCGGATGCTCAGGTTTCTGCTGTGCATCATCTCCTCTGAGCTCAGAGCGGGGCACAGCAGACACAGCCTGCCTGGGTGGGTGGGTGGGTGGGAGTCCTGCCCCGCACCCAGCACAGCACCCAGCATTCTGAGAACCTCACAGCTGTGCCCCGTGGGGATGGGGGCACCGCCTGATGGCAGCGGGGCTGCCCACAAGGCTTCCCACCGCTGCAGAGCCTGAGGGACAAAGCGCTGCACAGGGACAAACCCCCAAGCAATCCGAGCGTCGCCAGCGCTGCTCCCAGCAGAACTCATTGCGGGCACCCAGCCTCCGTGGGGCTGGGGAAAGGGAGACCTGCACCCAGTGGGCTCCCGGTGCTGGGAGCAAGGTGGGGACAGTGCAAGGATGTCCCCAGGGCCCCAGTCCTACCGTGGGCTCCGTTGGTGCGGCGGGGGCCGGGAGCCCCGTTGCGCGGAGATCCCCGCTGCGCGGCATTTCCTTCTGCAGGGTGTGCTGTGCTCACCTGTGCCAGGTGCAGCTCCGCCCCATCTCACTGTGCACCCAGGTCCTGCCAGCCCTCAGGCAGCCGTGGCTGCGTGGTCCTTCCATGCTACTCATCCCATAGCTGTGAGCTGTGGAGCCAAGGTGCGTGCTGGGGCGGCCAGCTGCAGCTCCAAGCTTCTGTCGCGTCGTGGTTTCACGCTGTGCTCCTGGGCTGAGACACGCAGGAGAGCATCCCTGTGCCCTGGCAGAATCACAGAAACACCAAGGTTGGAAAAGGCCTCCAAGATCATCCAGTCCAACCATCCACCCATCACCGATAGCTCTCACTAAACCACGTCCCTCAACACAACGTCCAAACGTTCCCTGAACACCTCCAGGGTTGGTGAACCCACCACCTCCCTGGGCAGCCCACTGCAGTGTGAGGAGAGCACCAGGGCACTGCAAACTTCTGACCCAGAGCAGAGGAGAGGTGACGAGCTCCCAGCCTGTGCTGCAGGCATGAGGGCATGAGGAGGAGGGGAGAGTGGTACTAAAGGATGCAGGGATCCTCTGCGCCCTCCAGGCTGGACATCAGCCCAGCATGAGGAAGGAGCTGTGTTGAGAACCTCCCGTTCCAGGTGATGTTTGCTGGTTGCATCCCCCAAAACACCCATCGTTGTCCCCCTGCTTTCCCAGCTGGTCTCTGGAAAATCACCCAGAGCAACAAGGAGCAGGAAAACGGGCTCTGCATCAGCAGCTGGAAGAGAGCAGAGGTTAAAGCTGCGCTCTACCCGTGAAGCATTTCTCCTACAGCACCCCATTCCAGCACAGAGCCATCCGCTCTCAGCATCTCTACCTCCAGTCCAGGGACACTGGGTCAGATCGCTGCCCTGCTCTGCATACAGCTCCTGTCCATCCCGGTGTTACGTGCATTTTTCACGGGCAGTGCTCTCACTTTGGCCATGTCCACGATGCTCCATCTGGGGCTGTCTGACCTCTGAACGGAGCAGGTCCTTCACAGCCTGGAAATACCTCCGGAGCCAGGCCTACCCCCCATTGCCAGGAAGGGAGAAGGGAGGACGACCTCCAATCCAGATTTGGCTTCTTATCTCTGCAGGATGGGAATCGGACTGGAGCTGCCCAGTGTCCATGAGCTGGCGGCCCTGAAGGAACACAGGAAGTCTTTGTGGGTTGACTGCAACTGAATTCATGTGAGTAAAAGGGAACCGAAGAAGACGGAGCCGTTCTCTTGGTGAGGGTGGTTGCCTTCATCCCATGCCATCCACCAGGAGCTGCTGTGCTCCTGGGGCAGTGCGATGTCCTGCAGCTTGCAGGAGAGCAGTCTGCAAACAAGCAGCATCTCCACAGATGGGTCTGGGCCAAGGAATTAAATGTAATTCCACCCAAATGAGGGAAGTGAAGAGGTGTTTTTAGGTTGGGTCATTTTGGTAGCCTTGTTTATTGCACTGCCTTGTGAAAAGCTGCCCTGAGAGACACATTATTGAAACTGGGACATTAGCACAGTGTGTAAAGATGCACAGAACAACCAAGATGTGGAGGACGAGAATTTTCCATCCTATTTTCTCCTCATAGAGCAGATCCCATAAGAAACAACACAAGAGATAAGATGCTCACAACTTCCCCTGTAGCCCAGAGGCATTCAGACCCCAGGTCCAGAGAGGCTTCACATTAGGACATCACAGCACAGGTCAGCTCTGGAGTGGGGTAGGATGCAAATCCCTGCATCTCTCTCTTGGTCCATCATCGTTGTCTGCACTGCGCCAGGCTCCCAGGTGCTTTCACACCAGCTCAGAGCAGGAAGGCAAGAGGCAGATGGTTGGAACTGACGATCTTAGTTGTCTTTTCTGACTTTAATGACTGGATGGTTCTATGAGCCATGCACTCCTCGGTAGGTCTGTCGCCTCTGTCCACAGCAGAATCAGATCTGCTGTCTTGTGGCTTCACGCTGTGGGACTTGGAGGTGAAACAACCTTGGTTCAGCTTTGGCTCCTGCCCCAGCTCGGTGCCATTCAATCGTGCAGCTGAAGCAGCCTGCTGGAACAACCCCTGCCATACAAACCTACAGCAACAGGAACCCATCAGCACAGAAGCTCCATTCCAACCACAGCTGCCTCAGGGCTGGGTGGAGGTACAGCGTTGTGCAGCCTCAGGAAGTTTGGTTTTCGTCTTACATTTCCTTCCAAATTTGCCTCTTGGGCGTTGATGGTGGTTGTTCTGATCTTGCCACAGCCGTGCTGGAGGGGAGGAGGCTGCTGTTCCCCTGCAGCAGTTTAACCCATGACGCACAGTCACATCCTCAGAACACCAAACGACTGCTCCACCTGCTATTGTTTTTCAAAACAGAGTGAATAAAACACAAAGCACCTGAGGGCAAAGATCCGTGAGCTCAGTGCAGGCTTCAAATGTACCAAGATGCAGTGGCTTTTTTTTCCTTCTGTCTTTTTCCAACCGCATAGAGAAACAAACAACCCCCCATTTCTTTCCATTTCCTGATCAGTTCCAGATATTCCTTCTGTCACCTCGCAGAAATGAGAGCTCGTTGGGTGTCCAGCCTTGGTGCATGGTGCTCCCAAGCTGACCGCATGATGCGCTGTATCTTCAGAGCCAGGCTCGGTGCTGAGGGATCAGCAACTGCCATGTTTGCTGAGCAGCGATGGAACCAACAGCCTCATATGTGCAGAGAGACAGGCAGAAACAAGGGCTGGAGTGCATGGCCCAGGGAGTGGGGGGTCACTGTCCCTGGAGGTGTTCCAGAGCTGTGGGGGGGATGTGGCAGTGAGGGAGTTGGCCAGTGGTGGGGTGAGCTGGGGTTGGGCTTTTCCAGCCTTCCTGATTCCACGGCTCTATGAAATGGGGCTACGTCTGCCTGGTGGATGGTCATTAAGGCCAGTCCTGTTCAACGAACATCTTCATCAATGACCTGGATGCAGGAGTTGAACGCATCCTTAGCAGGTTTGGTAAGGAGGCTGTGCTGGGAGGTGCTGTTGACACTCTGGAGAGACGACAGGCTGTGCAGAGGGATCTGTGCAGCTGCTCAGAAGGGCTGTTAGTGACAGGACAAGGGGGAATGGATTTAAAGTGAGACAGGGGAGGTTTGGGTTGGATATGAGGAGGAAGTTTTTGAGGCAGAGGGTGGTGAGGCACTGGCACAGGTTGCCCAAGGAGGCTGTGGATGCCCCATCCCGGCAGGCATTCAGGGCCAGGCTGGATGTGGCTCTGGGCAGCCTGGTCGCTGAAGGTCCCTTCCAACAGAACGATTCTATCCTGTTCTAAATAACAGAGTTCCCAGCTGCTGGATGCCACCAGGGATTCACTCAGAGGCCCACAGGCAAGGACAGCACACCTGTGAGGTGACTGCACTCTCACAAAGCAAAACGGAGTGTTTCTGGTGCTGTGTTCATCTCAGTTTCCCCTCCCCACGCTACCTGGTGCTGTTCTGACATGTGGGTGCACCTCTTGGTTGGAAGAAGCCCCGTTATCACAGCACCTCGGGTGGCTGCTGGCACATGCAGCACCCAGCACGTATTAGCAGAGGAAGTGCTGGCGTTTGGGGTTGTGTTATGTGTACAAGCCCCAGCAGTGCTTCGGGTGCTGCTGTCCTCGAGCGCTGCCTGGACCCTGGGGCATTTGGGTGGGGGAGCAGCCAGCCACTCAACACTGCCTCTCCCAATGCCTGAAGGATGGCCACGGCCTCCTGAGACCTAAAAGGGCTTTCTGAGATCCCAAGGGACCTCCTGAGACCCCAAAGGGCTTTCTGCCATGATGCTCTTCCTGTCTGCATCCAAGGGCACAGTGTCCCCACGATTCCCATAGCCCTGTGGGGCTGCCTGTCCCCAGGGGGCTCTCCCTCCTCAAGGTGCCCATCCCAGCCCCTCACAGCAGGAGGTGGGCTGGCTGCCATGACAGCACACCGGCCTCCACGATAGCACATAAGCTGCTGTGTTCCTCAGGGGTTTTGGCGTTCTTTGGAAGGGGAGGGAGAGCTGTGGGAGAATCGCGTGGAGAGTCGCATTAAAGACGACGTTTAAATACTATTTAGTGCAATCACCGCTGTGTTCTGGTTATGTGTATCGCGAAATGAGGTATTATAGCCCTTCACGGCCGCCGTACGTCGCGCCCTCGCGCGGCCGCGAATCGCCCTGAAGGGGGAGGAGGGCACTGCCGCCATCTTGGAAGCGGGCACGCAGCCCTCTCTGCCCTCGGTGGTCGCCGCTTCTCGGGAGGGCACGAGGGAGATTCGGGGGTAGATCAGGGGGTGAGGCTCCGCTGAGGGCGAGAAACAGCTCCGAAGCGGCTTTGGAGGGGAAAGAATGAGTCGGTGCCCGGATCCAAGATGTCGCCCGCGGCCTCAGCCGGTGGGGGCGGAGCGTACGGCGGCGCGGCGGGGTCAGCGCGGTTGGCGGGAGCGGGAATTGGCGCTCGGCAGCCGTTGGGAGCCCGCGCCGCCGTCGCCACCGCCGCCATGCACGTCGTGAAGCGCGGTGAGCGGGAACGTGGGGGCGGGGGGACCGCGGGGAGCCGCTCCGGGCTCCGTCCCGACTTTGGCCACGGAGCCCCGCAGGGCCACACGGCGTCGGTGCTGTGGGGATGGGTTCCTCGGCCTCCTCGCTGAAGGAGGTCGCGGCGAGGTGGGGGTCGAGCTCTGCTCTTGTCAATAGCAGGAGAAACGATGGCCTTCGGTTGTGACAGGGGGTGTTTGGGTTGGATATTAGGTAGAATTCTTCTCTGCGCGGGATGCCCGTGAGGTGAGGGGGCGTCTGTCCTTGGAGTTGCGATGGCGCCGGGCACTGAGGGACACGGAGTCGCCAAGGTTGGAAAAGACCTCCCAGATCATCTGGTCCAACCAACCAACCTACCGCCAAAATAACCCGCTAAACCACGGCCCTCAGTGCTGCTGAGAGGCGTTTTGTCAGCACTGAGTGTTCCTTGAGCACAAAGCGTGGTGGGATGGCTTGGGGTTGGATGTGGGGATCTGGAGGCTTTCAAGGCCAGGCTGGATGTGGCTCTGGGCAGCCTGGGCTACTGGTTGGT